CTGCCCTGGTGCCCGGGTGCTGGGCTGGCGGCTGCTGGCACTCTGCCTCGGGGACACCTCTCTGACCTGGGGTGCTGGAAGGGGACGCCCGGCTCTGGGGGGTCCTTGCAGCAGGTTCACCCATCCCTTTGGCCCCGGGGCTGGGCGGGAGGGGGGGGCTGGTGGCAGTGCTGGTGTCCCCGGAGCAGGGCTGGGCCATGGTGAGGTCAGCTGTGCTCAGCCAGGACAGCCCAGCTCAGCGCCAGCCGGGCTGATGCAACCCCGTGCAAGGGCCTGTGCATGTGTGTCAGCTGGTGTTTCGGGGCAGGCTGGGGGCGGTGGGATGCCGGGGCGGGTAGAGGGGTGCCACCCCAGCCACAGTGCTGCTCAGCCCAGCCACTGTTGCACAGGATGAGCCCAGCGAGTGGGAGAAGGCAGAGCTGGACCAGGTGCAGGTGGAGCAGCGGATCAAGGAGTACAATAGCCAGATCAACAGCAACCTCTTCATGAGCCTGGTACGGGGACAGCGCGGGGCTGGGGGGGGTCACGGTGCCCTCCCTGGCCCCACTCACCACCACCCCCCTGGTGTCTCTCAGAACAAGGATGGCTCCTACACCGGCTTCATCAAGGTGCAGCTGAAGCTGGTGCGCCCTGTCTCAGTGCCGGCCACCAAGCGGGTCCCCTCCCTGCAGGCAGGGCGGCCGGGGCTGCGTGCCCAGGGGGTGAAGCGCCGCACGTCCTTCTACCTGCCCAAGGGGACCGTCAAACACCTCCACATCCTCTCGCACACCCGCGCCAGCGAGGTCATCGACGCCCTCCTCCGCAAGTTCACTGTCATCGACAACCCCCGCAAGTTCGCCCTCTTCGAGAGGTCCGAGAAGGATGAGCAAGGTAGCATCCCAGGGTGGCCCTGTCCCCGTGGTGGCAGCTTCCCCTGGGTGGTAGTGGCTCTGGGGTGGCAATGTCCCTGGGGTGGTGGTGTCCCCCATGGTGGCAGCATCCCCGTGGCAGTGCCATCCCCCGTGATGGTGGTGTCCCTGTGGTGGCAGCATCCCCATAGTGGTAGCTTCCCCTGGGCAGCAGCATCCCCTCTGTGGCAGCATCCCCAGTGACTGTGGGGGTGTCCCCCGCAGTGGCAGTGTCCCCCATGACAGTGGTGTCCCCCATGGTGATGTCCCCATAATGGCAGCATCCCCATAGCAGTGGTATCCCCCTTTGGTGGCAGTATCCCCTGTTACCATGGGTGTGCCCCCCATGGCAGCAGTGTCCCCTATGACAGTGGTGTCCTTCATGGTGGCCATGTCCCCATAGTGACAGCATCCATGTGGGGGCAGCATCCCTGTAGCAGCAGTGTACCTCACGGCAGTGATGTCCCCATAGCGGCGGTGTCCCTGTGGGGATGTCCCCCCCGTGACGCCTGGCCGCCGTTGCAGTATACCTGCGGAAGCTGGCTGACGAGGAGCAGCCCCTGCGGCTGCGGCTGCTGGCCGGCCCCAGCGAGAAGGTGCTGAGCTTCGTCCTGAAGGAGAACGAGACCGGGGAGGTGAATGTGAGTGCCGGGACAGGGAGGGGACCAACACCCACACCCCCTGGGGGACGTGGCTTTGGAGGGGAGGGACGCCACGTCCCCGTTGCGATGGCAGCCCATGTGCCTGCAGTGGGACGCCTTCACGCTGCCGGAGCTGCACAACTTCCTGCGCATCCTGCAGCGGGAGGAGGAGGAGCACGTGCGCCAGCTGCGGCACCGCTACGCTCGCTGCCGACAGAAGATGCAAGAGGTGCTGGCCACGCGCACGCCGGGGTGACCGTGCCACCTGCGCCCATGGCCAGCCAGCGCGCTCGGACCCTC